GCCCGCGCGCGCCTCCGCCTGCTCCGCCCCCGCCCGGACGAGGATGTGAGGAGCAGACGCAGCCGCCGCCGCCCGCAGCTCCGCCACTTCTCCTGCTCCCCAGTGCCTCCCGGCCGGATGTTTCCAGAGAACTTGGCCAAGGGGGAGCCGCGGATGAGAGGATGTGAGTGAGCGGGCTGCGGGCGGGGGCGGGGGCGGGGGCTGCGCCAGTGCGGGGCGCCGCGGGGAACTCGACGTGGCCAGCGGCAGGAAGTCGCGGCTTGGCAGCTGGGGGCGGCGAGGAGTAGGGGTCCTGGACCCCACCGAGGGTGCGATCCTGAGTGTCCCTCACCCTGCTGGCCCCCACCGGCTTTTCTGGTGTCTGGCCGGGGCCCCCTGCGGGGTGGCCCAGAAGTGGACTCTCCTACCCAAGGGGCCCTATCCTTCAGCCCCATCAAGGGAAACTGAGGCTCAGGGTGCTGCCTGGCACCTTACAGAAGGTCCTGATGTAGTCTGAGGCAACAGGCTTTTAGGAAAGGCTGGATCCCTACCTGCCCCTGGGAGTGGACTTAGGGTGCCCAGCACCACCCAGTACTTCTAGGGCTATTTGTTGGGTTTGAGGTGTCAGCCTCCCAGGGTCAGGGCCAGCCCAGGGCTCCAGCCCCTCCCACTTGCATCTCCATCAGGAGCACCCTGCTGGTCCCTTGGCATGACTGACGTGTTTGCTGGGCTCTCTTGGCCCAGGCTGGGGAAATATAAATAAACGCCAACCCGATCGCCAGGTTCTGGAAGTGGCCGTTGCTGCTGCTGCCGCTGCTGCCGCTGCCACGGGCGGAGGGAAAGGTCAGGGGCTGAGTTACACTTGATCCCCCCACCCGCCTGTCCTTGAGGAACCCCGGGGAGCTGTGGAGAGCCACGTGGTCTCCGTGGCTGCTGCAGGCCGGCAGTGGCCTGTGTGTCTGATCAGTGTCACCCTGCTGTGGTGCTCGGAGGCCCCCCCGTGGGAATCTGGAGCCCTGTCCATCCTGGGCTCTAGGTGAGGTGGTGTGACTCGGATGCCTGGTACCTCCCATCCTGGGGACAGGAACCAGACTCTGCCTAGACAACAGGTTAATTTCGACCAGCTCAGTGAGGGCTGTGCAGGCGGGGTCACTGGGCTGCTGTGAGCTGCTCACGTGTGTCTGCTGCTCTGTTGTTGGGGCGTTCTGGGAGCAGTCGCTGACCTGTGTTTGAATGAATGGAGAACAAGAGACCAAGAGCAGATGTCTCACCCGCGCCTGCCAGAGGGCAGCCCCAGCCTTGCTCAGCTCAGCTGGGTTCGAGGAAGATGGCCTGTGACGTGGTTACGGGAAATCTTTCATTAAAGCCATTAGCCATGCCCTCTCCGCCCCCCCCCCCCTTCCCAGCAACGTGCGTGATTCAGCCGTCAGGCTCCATCCCCACTGGTGTGGCATGCCCACGGCCTTGGCAGGGGGAGCAAGGGAGCTGTCCCCTGCGGCCACCTGGGAGCCCTCACCCTGGCTGCTGCATGGTTCTCTACTTTGGACAGGTGGGGGATGGGTTGCAGCCTGGGGCTGAGCTGAGGGGACTCCACAGCCTGGACGGGTGTGGGGTGGAGTCTGCCATCTCTGGGGTCTGGAGCTTCTTAGCTACCCTGCCAAGTCCATTTGGGCCTCCGAGGGAGCTTAGGCCCTGGTGGTGCCCGTGAACCCCGTCTCAGCCTCGACGTTCGTCCTGCTCTGTGTGCTCAGCCCTGCTTACTGCACTGGTCATGGGGCTGGAGGGCAGCTGTGTCTCCAGGGCCCACGCAGCCAGCTAGTGTCAGGACTAGGTCAGCAGCGACCCCGCCGAGTGGGTGGGGGCAGCTGGGCAGATGACTGCTGCCTTCATGGCCCAAACAGCAGCCCCAGTCGGAGTCCCCTGCTGTCACCTGCTTGTGTCTGGAGCTGGCATTTTCCTTCCACCCCGGCACAGAGCAGGTGACAAGGAGCTGGACCCGAGGGCAGGCCCCTGCCTCCCTGGCCGTGGGGCTCAGGGCCAGCACCCAGGAGCTCCTGGTTTGCTTGTGTCCCTCAGTCACCTGCACAGCTACCCCTGCCCACAGGCCTCCTGGAGCACGGCCGGAACTGGTCGGCCATTGCCCGCATGGTGGGCTCCAAGACTGTGTCGCAGTGTAAGAACTTCTACTTCAACTACAAGAAGCGGCAGAACCTCGATGACATCCTGCAGCAGCACAAGCTGAAGATGGTGAGTTATCTGGCACCGTGCCTCCACTCTCAGGCCTTGGTACCCCAGAGCTGCCTGTGGCCAGGGTGATGGCTTCTTGGGCCCCCATGCCTGCCTGCCGGCACCAGCAGCTCAGGTCCTGGTGGGCCCGGCTCTGACTCAGCCAGGAATCCTGGCCGTCAGCAGCTTGGAATGAAGACTCGGGCAGTGGAGCACGCAGCTTTGCCCCGCCTCATGGGTCAGGGCCACGGGAGGAAGGATGGACGGGAAGTGGCGGCCTCGCCCCGCTGAGCTGAGCGCGGGAGTGGAATGGGCTCCCCTGAGCCTGCTTCCTCACAGCTGCTACTGGGGGCTAGGGACTGTTAGGCAAGACCGTGCTGCTGCCTGTTTGTGTACTTTGTCTCCCCTCTTTCCCCCTCCTTTCGAATCTCATTTCTTGTGGCACACTTGAGCATTTGTACTGTCCAAGAGCTGGGAAACTGAGGCTGAGCCAGGCTCCTAGGTGGCCAAGTAGAGATGTGAACTCCTAGCTCTGCCCTGTCACTACCACCTGAGTCAGCCCGCCTTTGAAGTTGTGTGGTACACTCCCACAGGTGGTGCTGACCCGGCCTCACAGAGCCTGCAGGGGCCCAGGGAAGGTGTGTGCATCACACAGCATGCAGTGGCAGGCCAGGGACAGCGCCATGCCGAGGTCAGGGCACCTTCTGGGCCGTGTGTGTGACCGGTTGCTGGTGGCCTTAGCCTGGGGCAGTCATCGCTGGCTCTGCACTTCCAGTTATGTGGGGCTCCCTTTAGCTTCCCCAGTTGAGCCCAGGTGGGATTTGGCTTGGTAGACTCAGGCAGAGCCCCTGTTTCCTGGGTTTCTGGAATTTTCTTGGCTGTAGGCTGCGTGTACAGAACCCCTGTCCTACACCTGCTGGGGTGGGGACGGGACAGGTGTGCGCCCCCCCCCCCCCCCCCCCCCCCCC